TTTACTTATTTAATTTTTGCTTTTTGGGCCATACCCAGCAATGCACAGGGGTTACTGCTGGCTTTGCACTCAGGAATTATGCTTGGCGGTGCTCAGGGGACCATATGGGATGCTGGGAATTGAACCCGGGTTGGCCGCATGCAAGGCAAATGCCCTACTGTACTATCGCTCCAGCCCACCAAATGAGAAATGGGAGGTTCCGAGAAGGCTAGATACTGAATCCAGGGCAAGCAGTGAAGTGACATGTGACTCTGAGCCCACTTTCTGCTGGCCACTCCCTCATTTGGGCCGGTATGGCTGGGCCCCTGTCACACTACAACTCTCCTTGTAGCTGAACTTGGATCAACGGCCCCCCCCCCCCCAGTCTGCATGAGTGGGGAGTGCATTGCCCCTGGAGCTGACTAAAATCAAGTTTACAGTTCCCCCCACCCCAAACCCTGAAATATGTGACCTGTCTGCTGAGATGCTCTGCACACTGCCTGCGTTAGAAGTCTCAAGAAGCGCCTACCAGAGTCTGCCCCCCCGGGACTCACATGGCACATAGACGTGAGTGGCCCAGTTGCCCCGCTCATGGGGGAAGGTGCGGATCCGGCCCCCGTGCTTTGTACTGTCATCCTCTGGCCCCTCCTCCGTGCCCTGGAACATGTGGAGCACACTGTCAGGTACCGGCCACCTCTGGCTGGGAAGGGGACTCTGGCGACTGCAAGAGAGAGAGAGAAGGTACATAATATCTACTAATTCTGTTGACATTCACTACATGCAACCAACAAAAAACAGTCACCTTTGAGAGAAGCACATGGCCCGTTCCCCACAACTGGTGAGCAGCTGAGCTCAGCAGGGAGCTGGCAGACAAGGGAACAGGCAGTGTGTGTGAGGCCTGGAGGTACTGATCTCCACCTGCAGGGGAACTTCCTAGCTCCGCTGTTGTCCTGTTTCCTCGTCTGCGAAACATGCTTCTGAGTGAGCTGCTGCAAGACCATCCCAGGCCCTGCTCAAGCCTCTCAGCATTCAGCAAGCAGAAGGCCTGGCACTGAGAACCAAAACTCCACCAAAGGCATTTGCCGTAGTTTTGCTCACCATGTGACCCCAGTCCCGAGTCCTGGGCTAGCCAGGTGCTTCATGAGCATTCTTCACTGGATGAACGAAAGCACTTTAACTAATTCCAGCTGCAACTGGGTTCAAGCAAGGAACCGGATCGTGGGTGGTACTGGGCGAAGCCAGTCAAGAGGAAGAGCGGGCCGGGTCGTGGGGGCTGGATCCAAACCCACGTTTCCGGCTCCCCCAAGGGAGCACCCTGGGGCTCTGTCCAGAGGTGAAGTTCTCTGCATCCACCTCCCCACCCGCAGCAAGTCCGACCCCCTGGATCTGTCGGGACCGGGTAGCGCGCGAACCCCATCCACCAGCAGAGAGGCTCTCCTCCTTGCTTCTCACCGGCTGCTGCCTTCAGCTCCGGGTCGGGCCGGGGCTCCGGCCTCCGCCTCGTCCTCATCCTCGGAGCCGCTGCTGCTGTAGCCCACCAGGGGCGCCGCGCTCATAGGGCTCCGGGCAGCACCGCCGACACCTCCACCAGCAACCGCGGCCGGTCGGTACCCGGAATTCCTCCCCGCCGGAAGTGCCCGCCAGGGGCGGGGCCGGGGCTGGCTCCGCCCCGGGGCTGGGCCTGGAGGGGCGGGGCCCGGCGGCACCGCGGCAACCCCCCCCCTCTTGCCGCCCCCCCAAGCCGGCGTGTTACCGGACCGCGTCTGCGACCGGCCTCGAGGACTCCCGGGATCCTCCTGCAACCCCGCAGCCTCGGTGCGTCCGCTTTCCACATCAATCTGGGCTCCGATTTGATTTAATTAATTAATTTATTTATTTATTTTCTGTCCGCTGCTCAGTCTTGTGGCCACCGGACCTCCCAGGGCCCCGACAGGACCCCTAGGTCCAGCAGTCCGCGGGCTGGACTGCAGCGGGGGTCCCTGGCGGCGGGCAGCGAGGCCGTCCCTCCTCCCCGTTCTTATCCGAGTCTCGGGGCGGGGCGTGGAGCGGGGCTGGGGGGGGGGGGCGGGGGTCGTCTCTGTCCTCGGGGCGACAGAGCCGCCAGGAGGTGTGTCAGCAGCTCGGGAAGACCAGAGGCTGGCGGTGGACGCCCCGGGCGGGCGGGCGGCGGCAGCAGCGCCCGGGCATCTCCCTTGCAGGGCGCCGGGCAGCAGCCGGAGCGCCGACGCCCCCGGGAGCAAGCGCGGCGCTCGCGTGCCCCGGCCCGGCCGCGGGGTCCCCGGCAGGGGGCGGCCTCGCTCCGCGCCGCCCGGGCCGCCGCTCCTCCTCCGGGCCCGCCTCCCCGGCCCGAGCCGCCCGCCGCCCCGCCGCCCCGCCGCTCTCCGCCGGCCGCCCGCACCGCGTCCGCCCGCCCGTCCGTGCGTCCGTCCGTCCGTGCGTCCGTGCCGCCGCCGCCGCCCCGCCCGCCGAGCCGCGCGCGCCGCTCTTCCCCGGTGCGGGCCGCTGCCACGGGCCCCGCCCCCGCCCCCGGGCCGGCCGCCGCCGCCGCTACGCGAGGCCGGGGATCGGCGGCGCGCGTAGGCCGCGGCACCCAGGGGCGGCGGGGAGCGGCGCCGGCCGCCCCTCGGCCCCGCGTCTGCCCGCAGCAGGTGAGCGGCGGCCGGGCCCGGGGACCACTCGCGCCGCCGCCGCCGCTCCCCTCCCCCTCCCCCAGCCCCCCCGCATCCCTCCTCCGTCCACCCCGCGGCCTCCGGGCAAAACTGGGCGGCCCCCCGGCCCGCGTCGCCGTCGACGCGCAGAAGCTGCCCGGGTTCCCCCGGCTGCAAACCCCGGGAGCTTCTCTCGGGCCCGGTGCGGGGGTCGGCCTGGCCGTGACAGGAGGTGGCCCCGCTGGACCCGCGGGGGACCGGGTCGCGCCTTGATTGCGTTGTGCGCCGAGGACCGACGGCTGGGGTGGGGCACAGGTGCGGGCCACCCCCCCTCCCCATTCCTCCCTTCGCCTGGTCCCTGCGCCCCTTGGCCTCTGGAGCAGCCCCCTCCGGGCTGCATCTTCCTGGAGGGGGGCTGGTGACCCGTGTGGGTGTTGGGTGTGTGTAGGGGGGTGGGGGGGCAGGGCTCGGGATCCGGAGGCTGGGCAGTGGGGGCGGGGAGGGGGAGGCTGTTGGGTTTGACGCAGCGGAACCTGGTGCAGCTCAGGCTGTTCCTGCCGCTTCCCCCGGGAGGCGGGGAGGCCCCCGTTTGTTTGGGAAGATGCTGAGGATGCCCGCGTCTAGCATCCTCACACTCGGATTTCTTTGTCCGCCCCGGAGGTGGGTAGGTGGGCTAGCCTGGGGACGAGGGCATCTCCTTCCTTCTCCTCCTGCCCTGGGGAGGAAACTTCAAAACTTTTTCTTGTGTTGAAGACCGGGGAACTGGGAACCTGGAAGTGGGCTGTGTCTAAATTCTGAAAAGTTCCTCCATCTGGCTGTCATTGCCTTGTGCTGCCACAAAGTGGTGAGGGAGAGATTTGCCTGGGCCCCTGGTGGGCTATGGGCTATGGGAACGGTGCCCTCTTGGATCTCAGGAACAAGGAGAAGCACCACCCCGCGGTAGGCAGGCTGCCTCCCAAGGAGAAGCACCACCCCGCGGTAGGCAGGCTGCCTCCCGTAACCCTGCGGCAAACACGGTTCCATACTGCTATTGGCTGTGACACTGAACTGGGAGATGCAGAATATTCCGAGTTTATTTGTTGCGGCTCTTGGATTTTTTTGGTTTTTTTTTGGGGGGAGGGGTTGTTGTTGGTTTTGGTTACACCTGATGATGCTCTGGGTTCTACTCTTAGCTCAGTGGTTGCGGGTCACTCCCAGTGGTGCTTGGGGAACATGTGGTGCTGGAAACTCATGGAGTTATCTTCCTGGGCCAGTTTCCTTTGTTGTGGTGCTCTAGGAGATGGCAGGAGAGGGAGTTCTAGATTGGGTGGTCTATGATAGCCCTCCCCACCAAAAAAAGAAAAAAAAAAGACTCAGGTACCAGCCTGTTACAGGTCAGTATCAGAGGTCAGGTGTGTGTGAGGAGGGGTCTAGTCAGGGGTCAAGGACTTGCCACTTAGGCAGATATTGATTGTGGCTGTTTGTTGTTAGGCCTTTAGGTCTGGGGGGGGGACCTTAACCCAGCACCCCTTTCTCTTGGTGTCCTGGGCTGAGATTTTAGGCAACAGTGGGAATATCCCTGAGATTTCAGCGCGAACTTCTCTGCTTCTGTCTACAGGGAGGGCGTTTGCCTATCACACAGCTGACCCAGGTTCAATTACCAGCATCCCATATGGTCCCCCGAGCACTGCCAAGCATAATTCGGAAGTGGCAAAGCCAGGAGTAACCCCTGAGCATCGCCGGTGTGACCCAAAAAGCAAAAAAAAAAAAAAAATCTTATATATTGGACTTCCAAGAAAACTTTATTTGTGTGAAAAAAAAGTTATGATCAAAAAATAATTTATTTTTGGAAACCACGGCCCTAACATGTTCACCCCTCCGCCCCCCACTCCCCTTCCCTTGGTGGAAGAATTGGTGACTTCTTTCTATTCTTGGCAGATCACCCCAGATATCACCTGAGACCTCTTATTTGAGGTTGACAGAGAGCAGAAGCTGGGCTGCCGGGGGAGGGGGGTGGGCGCAGGGAGGCTGGGTGCACACTGTCTGTCTGTCCCCCTGGTTGGTGGAGCTGAGGGCCAGCACGATTCTAGGGTGGCCTGTGAACTGGGCACCCCTGGAGCGTTTCTCCCTTGCCCTGGGTGGGCTGTGCAGGTATGACGCGGGCGGAACAGGGACAGAGCCCCGCCCCGCGGTGCCCCTGTCCCATACTCACTGTTTCTCTTCCCCGTAGCCCTGGTCAGCGAGGAGGGCGGAGCCTCCCCGGAGCCGTGCCTGGACCCTGCCGAGAGGCGCCGAGAGGAACCCCAAGGAGCTCTCCGAGTCTGCGCTGCCTAGTTCCCACCCGGGCGCCCACCCTGCCCGCCTCTGTGCCTTGCCCGCGCCCCCCGTCCCGGCCCCTCCCTCTCTTTCTCTCTCGGTTGGGCCACCTAAAGCGGGAAGCTGAAGCCGCTACTCTCCAAACCCTGCTTCATCTTCCCCAGCATGTCGGAGAGCTGGCAGCAGCCCCCGCAGACGCAGCCGCAGCAGCCGCAGCAGCCGCAGGCCCCGCAGCCGCAGCACCATGCCGAGCCGCCCCCGGCCCTGGCCGAGCACGCGCTGCCCCCGGGCTCGGCCGAGAACCCGCTGGGCTGCGCCGTCTACGGCATCCTCCTGCAGCCCGACGGGGGCCTGCAGCCGCCCCAGCACCCGCCCCTGCAGGCCGCCGGGGAGGCGACCTCCAAGTGCGGGGTGTGCGGCCACGACCTGGCGCCCCTGTCCAGCCCCCACGAGCACCAGTGCCTGGCGGGCCACGACCGCTCGTTCCAGTGCACGCAGTGCCTCAAGATCTTCCACCAGGCCACTGACCTGCTGGAGCACCAGTGCGTGCAGGCCGAGCAGAAGCCGTTCGTCTGCGGCGTGTGCAAGATGGGCTTCTCTCTGCTCACCTCGCTGGCGCAGCACCACAGCGCGCACAGCGGCGGCGGCTCGGGGGGCCTGGTGAAGTGCTCCATCTGCGAGAAGAGCTACAAGCCCTCGGAGGCCCCCGACGCGGCTTCGGGCCCCGCCGGCGCCCCGGCCCTGCCCCCCGCCGCCGGGCCGCGCGCCTTGGCCCCCGCCGCCGCCGAGCACGTGGAGAAGCCCTACAGCTGCACCATCTGCCAGAAGCCCTTCAAGCACCTGTCGGAGCTGTCGCGGCACGAGCGCATCCACACGGGCGAGAAGCCCTACAAGTGCACGCTGTGCGACAAGAGCTTCAGCCAGTCCTCGCACCTGGTGCACCACAAGCGCACGCACAGCTCCGAGCGGCCCTACAAGTGCGCCGTGTGCGAGAAGACCTTCAAGCACCGCTCGCACCTGGTGCGCCACATGTACGCGCACTCGGGCGAGCACCACCTGTTCCGCTGCAACGTGTGCGAGCTGCACTTCAAGGAGTCGTCGGAGCTGCTGCAGCACCCCTGCACGCCCAGCGGCGAGCGGCCCTTCCGCTGCGGCGAGTGCCAGAAGGCCTTCAAGCGGCCCTCGGACCTGCGGCAGCACGAGCGCACGCACAGCGCCGAGCGGCCCTTCAAGTGCGACCTGTGCCCCATGGGCTTCAAGCAGCAGTACGCGCTCATGCGGCACCGGCGCACGCACAAGGCCGAGGAGCCCTTCAAGTGCGGCCTGTGCGAGAAGGGCTTCGGGCAGCCCAGCCACCTGCTCTACCACCAGCACGTGCACTCGCTCGAGACCCTCTTCAAGTGCCCCGTGTGCCAGAAGGGCTTCGACCAGTCGGCCGAGCTGCTGCGGCACAAGTGCCTGCCGGGCAGCACGGAGCGGCCCTTCAAGTGCCCCGTGTGCAGCAAGGCCTACAAGCGGGCCGGGGCGCTGCAGAAGCACCAGCTGGCGCACTGCGCGGCCGCCGAGGAGCCCCTGCGCTGCACGCTGTGCGAGCGCCGCTTCTTCTCCTCGTCCGAGTTCGTGCAGCACCGCTGCGACCCGGCGCGCGAGAAGCCGCTCAAGTGCCCGGACTGCGAGAAGCGCTTCAAGTACGCGTCCGACCTGCAGCGGCACCGGCGCGTGCACACGGGCGAGAAGCCCTACAAGTGCCCCAGCTGCGACAAGGCCTTCAAGCAGCGCGAGCACCTCAACAAGCACCAGGGCGTGCACGCGCGCGAGCAGCAGTTCAAGTGCGTGTGGTGCGGCGAGCGCTTCCTGGACGTGGCGCTGCTGCAGGAGCACAGCGCGCAGCACAGCGCCGCCGCCGCGGCCGCCGCGGCCGAGGGCGCCTACCAGGTGGCCGCCTGCCTGCCCTGAGCGCCCCCTGCCGGCCGGCCTGCCGGCCCAGCTTCCTGCACGGAGCGCCCCGCCCAGCCAGCTCTTTCTTTTGTGGGTGGGGGCCCCAGGGAGGACAGAATGGGCAGGTGGGCGTGGGGGATGGGGGCTGGAGCTGGTCCTGCTTTGGAGCTTCCTGGCGAGACAGGATTCGGGTGTGTCCCCCGCTCCCCCCCACAACCAGGCTGTAAGGCCAGTGGCCTCGATCCCAGTGGACGTGGGCAGCCTCCCCGCCCCGCCCCCAGCTGCCCGCCCCTTTCAGCCGGTTAGAGTAGTGTGATGGGGAGCCCAGAGTGGGGCCGCGTGGCGGGAGGAAGACCAGGCTGCGTGCCCTGCCTGCAGGCTGCACCCCGCAGCCCGCCCGCTCTGTCTACCTTAGCAAGGGTGGGGATGTGCACCCCAGGTTTCCGGCAGAATACTGCACTTCTGTGAGCTCAGCCACCCAGGGAATGGTGACCCAGCCCAAGGGAGGAGGCAGGGAAGCTCAGATAACCTGGAGCTGGACAGCGAGCCCCCAAGAAGGGAGGCAGGGCAGCCTGGTTCCAGGCTACTGTGGGGGGACTGCTCTCCCTCAGACCAGGAAGGGGTCACTAAGGCCCCTGGTGCCTGGAGGAAGCAGGGCCAAGCCCATGATCCCCCTCCCCATCCCAGTGGAGGTGAACTGGTGTGTTGTGTGGGCTCAGGTTGTGTAGGGCATGCCTCGTCCTGTTCCTGAACCTAGGCCAGACCTGGGGACCCAAGGCCAGAGGGGCTAGGACTTATGGGCATGGCCCTGAGGGCAGGGTGCCCTCCCACCCTCCGGGAAGCCCCTGCCATCAGTCTGGCATATCCAAGATCCCCTTCGTGCCACCCTGCTAATTCCAAGACCTGAGCATTCTCCCTGGGTTCTCCCAGGGGCCTCAGAGCCAGACAGGAAGAGGGTCATCCAGGAAACAAGGTGGGTGGTGTTGTCCGAGAAGGCCAGAGGCAGAGGACCCCTTAACAAAAATGATGACTTTGAACCCAGCTCTGCTCCTGCCTCGGGGGCAGGTCCCATTGCAGATTTTGGGTCCTGAAAGAAGACTTTGATCAGTGCTTGCACCAAGGGGCAGGGACACCTGTCTACCCGTTTCTTTCTTTCTCTCTCTCACCCCCTCTCCTCTCTCTCTCTCTCTCTCTCTCTCTCTCTCTCTCTCTCTCTTTCAAGATGTCTGAGAAGCCTACAGCACCTCCTCCATCTGACTGGGCTCCCTTCCCGGGCCCCTCCGGGAATGGGCCTTCCCCAGGCGCTGACTGTCCTTCACAGTACCTGGAAGAAACGGGGCCCAGGCTGGCCCCCATCTGACTGCTTTCCCTGTCATTCTGCTTTCTAAAAGCGGTTGTTAATACTCTTCGTAACTGTATAGTTTAATTTCGTATCATTTTGAATCTCAGAAAGCATTTGGGTTTAAAATGATCAACTCCATTTTAGATAGCCCCCTTCAATGTTAATATATAGCGAGTCCAATGTATGTCCTAGAAGTAAAGCCCTTGACCTTCTGAGGCCCAAAGCACTGCTGTTCTGGTCATTCTTCCACGGGGCAGTGGCAGGAGGTGGCAGACAGAGCACCATGCTGCACGCGGAGTCCTCTGGGCTGTGGCGCTGGGCGCGTCACTGAACCTCCTTGGGACTCCCATCACTTCACCTATGAAACGGGAGATGAATCTAGTGCTTGTGCTACTTACTCGTGCATGGAGTCTGGGAGGGGAGGCTGGGGAGATGCAGAACTGGGCCCAAGTCCCCAAAGGGAGCAGACCGCAGGAGCCCGTGGTCATGGGATGGGCACTCAAGGGTGGCGGGGGAGGGAACTGGGGAGCCTCAGACTGAGGCCAGCCTGGAGCTGCAGTGGACAGGGCCCCCAAACCCTGCCCCAGCTCCCCTGCTCTGCCCCACTGACTTGCACCCAGCTGCCTGCTCTGGTCACATCACCCCACCCTACCCCATCCCCGTCCCCCAGGGGCCCAGCTGCAACTAGTGGTGCCTTCATTTCTCAAAGGCCAGCATGAAGGGTGGGGTGAAGAGGAGAAACAGTGACTGGAGTGGCCAGGGTGCCTGCAGGGGGCCTTCGGACACCAGAGACCCCAAGGCTGGTCCCTACTCTCAGGGCCTCTGTTCCTCATCCGCAGCAAAGACCCAGCCTCTGTCATCCCGCTGAGGGTCCTTAGAGACCCACCATTCAGACTCTGCAGTAGATCCACCAGCTCCTTCCCTTCCTGCCCACCACCCTCCCTCCTGTGCCTCCTGCTTCCGCCCCCACCAACTTCCCACCCACCCTCTGACGCAGTTTTCAGAGGGGAACCTCAGATGCAGTGAGTAGGGAGGGTTCTTTTGTCCGGAGATCCTCCCTCCCTTATGCCTTAACCGCATCTGGATGAGGGCAGAGCTAGGGGATGCGGGGCAGACTTACACCTCATGTTTCGCAGTGTTGAGGCCCTCGCCCAGGGCGGAGCAGGATCATCCTTGAGTTTTGAGGTTTTCCTGCCACAAACAACAGGCTCTAAATTGCTGGTGTTTGGGGTTGAAGCCACAGTCACTGTCACTGTCCTCCCGTTGTTCATCGATTTGCTCGGGTGGGCCCAGTAACATCTCCATTGTGAGACTTATTGTTACTGTGTTTGGCATATGGAATATGCCACGGGTAGCTTGCCAGGCTTTGCCGTGCAGGCAAGATACTCTCGATAGCTTGCTGGGTTCTCCGAGAGGGGCGGAGGAATCGAACTCGATTGGCCCTGTTGGCTGCGTGCAAGGCAAACACCCTACCTGCTCTGCTATCGTTCCACAGTACAGCAGGTAATACTGTGCTCGCCTTGCACATGGCTGGCCAACCCGGGTTCAACCCTTGGCACCCCATTGTGTCCTGAATCGCACCAGGAGTGATCCTTGAGCTCAGAGCCAAGAGTAAGTCCTGAGCACTGCTGGGTGTGACCCCCCAAAAAACCCTCCCTGCCTTCCTAAAAAAAAACCAAATAAATGATGGTGTTTTGAGTATAAAGTATGTGGGAGTCCCCCCGGACCCTCACCCCAGCACCCATCCCTGCCCCTGCCTCTGCTGGTGCTTGGCAAGGAGCCGAGTTTTACATTACTCTGTAATAAGCCTGATTCTGTGTCAGAGGCGTTTCATCCTGTCCCTTCCAGTTTCGGGGTTCTGGACATCCCAGCTGGCTAGACAAGTCCCATCATGAGCCAACTGAACCATGAGTTAGGCCCCGTACTGTGGTCTTAGAGAAGGGTGGGGAGGAGGAAGTCTTTTCTAGAAGATTGGGTGGATTCAGGGTAGGAGAAGATGAAGCATTTCGGGGGGAAGAAAAGCGTAGTCGCAAGGTCTGGAGGTAGATGCGAACTCAGGCTTGACGAGGCTGGTGGTGGGTTTGTGTTGGGGGTGAAGTACCAAGATGTAAGAGCCCAGGGAGTGGACTGGGCCCAAGCCAGGAAAGCCTGGAGGTGAGCTGTCCCCAAGGGGTGGCCGCAGGGTCGGTTTTTTTTTTTTTGCTTTTGGGGTCTCACCCAGCGATGCACAGGGGTTACGCCTGGCTCATGCACTCAGGAATTACTCCTGGCAGTGCTCAGGGGACCATATGGGATGCTGGGAATTGAACCCGGGTCGGCCGCGTGCAAGGCAAACACCCTACCCACTGTGCTATCACTCCAGCCCCACAGGGTCAGTTTTTAAGACGACCCGTCTGATGAGCAAAAAGTTGGAGGTGGAGGGGACAAGGGGGCCAGAAGAGGGGGGCCTGGCTCAGGGGCATCTGGGCTTTATCCCATCTCCAGGTTCGCATCGTGTTTTCAGCCCAGCTGACTGCCACTGGCAGCAAATAAGACTTACTGGTGGCCACCTGGAGAGTCCCCCCCCCCCCCCCTGACAGTAGAGTCGGTAGCCCTGGGTTCTGGGGTCAGGCAGGTCCCTGGCTACAGGTCCCAACGCTGTCCACACCAAGCCTGCCCTGGAGGTCTGGAGGCCGAGTCCACATCCTCCTCTGTTCAGTCCGAGCTGCTGTCGCCCTGGGCTTCGGCAAACAGAGGGAGTATCCCAACCTAGGTTCCTGTGCCCTCAACTGCATTTCCTTGATTTGTGGACATGCCTTTGGTGATGGTGGTGCTCAGTGCCTGGGGGTCACACCGGGTCGCCATCCACACGGTCAGGGGTGCTCAGGGGTCACAGGTGCCCTGGGGTGGAACTCGGCCTCCATGTGCTCTCCATCCACAGCCAGCACACAACTTAAATTTTTTTTAAAAATTTATTTTATTGAATCACCGTGAGATAGTTACAAAGCCTTCATGTTTGACTTTCAGCCATACAATGATCAAATACCCATCCCTTCACCAGTGCACATTTTCCACCACCAAAATCCCCAGTATTTCCCCCCATCCCAACTCTTCCTGTGCCTTTGTGGCAGACAATTTCCACAATACTCCCTCTCTACTTTGATTACATTCAGTATGTCGACACCGGTCCCACTATTATTATTTGGAATTTTCCCACCACCACGCAAACCTGCCAAAAAGGCAATGCTAAACAGTTTGTTTTGTATTGCTTGTTATGAATAGCATACAATGTCTTGCAGCCGTGCATTCCTGGAATTCTGAAATTTTAATAATTAGGGTCTGGAGAGATCTCTGCAGTGAGCTGCTTGTTTCCGAGATACGTTTGTGTCTCTGGATCATGGCTGTTTAGGAGCTTAATACATAGCCAGGGCCATCCACACAGTCAGGGGTGCTCAGGGGTCACAGGTGCCCTGGGCAGTTCGTGGAGTGTCATCTCAGAGTCCCATGGCGGGCAGGGGAAGGAGAGGGACCAGCTTCTCCCCTGTCCAGCCAGCACGCATATTTATGAGATCAGGATCAGAGGACGACTGTGGGTGTGAGTAACAGAACTGCAGGTGTGAGATGCCAGGATGAGTCCTGGGTTCTAAGAAGACGGGGTGGGTATACCCACAACCTCACTCATGTCCTCACTCAGGTTTA